AGCGGGGCTGGCCGGGGGGGAGTGGGAGCAGTGGGGCTGGCTGGGAAAGATGGGTGGGGGTGGAGAGAACTGACCAGTGGAAGCAAGGCTGGCCGGAGGGCGGGGGCAGCAGGGCTTGCCAGGGGAGATCGGGAGAGAATTGGCTGGCGGGGACAGCGGGGCTGGCCTGGGGGGAGGGAGAGTGCATAAGAGAGAGAAGGTGGAGGGAGAAGGGGGAGAGAATCGGCCAGCGGGGAGCTGGACAGTTCAGGGCGCACACAGATCCTGAATAAAAATTTAAAAGCAGTGCCTTTTAAATATTCCCACTGCTGACAGTGAGGTTTAAAGGCACTACAATGTGTCAGAAAGGAGAGAACCTGGTGCATTCACCATCCGGAATAAGAATATCGATAAAAAATTCCAAAGATGGTGTCAGCTTTCTGAAAATAAATGAGCCCCTTTTCAATACACAATGTGCCGGTGCAGAGTTTTATTGGATTACAGTCCATTTTTCCAATCCATATTCCATTAACTTGCTGGTAAAAATGTTGTGGGTGACCGTATCAAAAGCTTTGCTAAAGGTGGCCCAGGGGGCTTTGGGAGGACCAAAACCAACCAATTTGCATATTTGTCAGCTGCTTAATGAATATGCAAATGAATGTTACCAGTCCTCCAAAAGCTCTTGAATGGATTTACTGGTCCCCATGTCAAAAAGTTTGGGATCCCCTGTCTTAGTCAATCACCAATGCTACTGTAAGAAGTATCTAGAAGTGCAACCAATCACTAGCATGATCATGCAACCTCTCAGATCTTGGAAGGGTACCAAATATGACTTCAGTGTTCCAAATTCTCTCACCTACCTCTCATCCCCCCATATAAATCATAGAACAAGATCTTCTGTGCACATGCCACTATGAGTTGCAGGCCAACAATTACTTCTCCCCATTGGAGGAGCAATTTAAACAATTTACATAGTGCTAGCAAGTCTGAAGCTGAGCCATATGCAGTTATATTTTCATAATCAGTGAAGAGAACCTCTATTTCACAGAATATTAATAAATTACAGGGATAGGAATTTTCATTAGCCATATTACCACTCAGCCTTTACAACTGAGACTTTCCTGTTTTTAATATCTGCTCAACTTTGACCCAGCAAGCCATATTGATTCCTGATTCAGTCAGTCAATATATTCCAATACATAGATCAGACCAAAAGAACATCCACAAACAACAGTTGAGGAATAGTTAACAGGGACACATGGACCAGAAAAAACTCTTTAAACTGACACTGTCTATTCCAAAGAGCCATATGGTACCTTACTCATGACATCTTTACTATACAAAAATAAGTAAGGGAGGGAAGGAAATAATTCGTATAATTATTGTGTTGGACAATGTTAATGGCTGCCACCAGAAAGGACTTTAATTTATGAGAAATCCAAACCTTGTAAAAAGTGATTGTTATGTAACAAGTAAATGTCCCCAAATTCAATAGTAGCTGAAAACAAGAGAACTATCATCCAAGGCAACAGTCATATGACAGTCAATCAGAAGTTAAACCATGCAGGCTGAGGCTCCTTGGGACTACAGGTTGAAGGTGTTGGATTAGAAAGGTTCAAGACCTGACCAGAGCCAAATCAGAGAATTTTCAGATTCACAGGAGGTCAATATTATCTAGCAGCACTACCAATACTTCCACTGCTTAATGGGCTCTTAGAAGACATTTAGGGATAATTTAGTACTAAACAATAGCACGGAACACTAAGGCCAGGTCTACAGTAGGGGGCAATGCCAAACTAAGGTACGCAACTCCAGCTACATGAACAGCACAGCAGGAGTGGATGTACCTTAGTTTGAGTTACTGTGGCGTCTCTACTGTGGGAAGTCGATGGGAGACACTTTCCCATCAACTCCCTATATGCTTTTCAATCGGGTGGAATATTGGAGTTGATAGGAGCACAATCAGCAGTTGAGTTAATAAGTCTTTACCAGACCCGCTAAACCAACCCCTGGGAGATTGATGTCTGCAGTGTCGATCTCCCAGTAAGTGCAGACGAGGCCTGAGAGCCAGGATTGGTGGCTGTAAACAAACTTTATAGGGCCACAGGAAATGCTGCCACACTCATGAGAAGTGGACATCCAGCTAACTAAAATCATGCCAGACCACGGATATTACCAGATTAAAGAGCAGCAACTAGAGAGACTAGACAGTTTCAATCTGTAGTTACAAACACAGGCAGAAGGGGATTGACTACTTATAGCTGTGTATGAGATAAACAGAAAGGCAGCAGAAAGTGAGAGTAGTAGTCATGCGCCCTGGTAAGATAGGAGAAAGACTTTCTTTTGTGGCACATCAACTGCTCCAGACACAAACATTGATCACTGAGTAAAGAAAACACCTACTATTGGATTTTTGCTATATTCTGAGAAACAGGACTTTGGTTTATTTACCGGAAAGTACACAAAGAAATTCCTGACTAGTAGCATCAATTTCTCCTCCTATTGGAAACAATCTGGCAAGGCCCCAAGGCTAACTCTCAGGCCAGAAGGGGTAATAATATGAGGATATAACTTAAAATAATCTACTTTAAGAAATTCAAAAGTTTTATGAAACTATATAAAGAATACTGTCACATCAATAGCTGGAAATCTCTTGCCACAGTAGGAAACCATTACTTTACTAGTATCAATACATCAGACTAATTTGGTCAAAGTGGTACAATGGACACACTTAAAAATCTTGTCAAGTCTTTGAGGAATGCATTCTGGAGTTTGTTCTCTCAAAGGTTATGATAGTTGATTTTTCATTACAGTGATGTTTCCCCTCAACATTTGATTTTTTTATATGAAAACAACTTGTTGGATAAATGTGTTTATTAAAAAATAAAGGAAAATTTCAGGTTTATATGGTATCTATAGTAACTGTTTCAAGCTGCATTGTTTTCCAATGATCACAAAAATTGCACAGAGCAGCTACTAGCATAGTAATAAGTAAGAGCACTCTTCATAAGGTACAATTAAAAATATTACAATATTACCAGAATGTCTTCCATTTGTACTTACATGCTCAGGTTTATCTTTAAGAAGCTGTTTTATCTTCTCTACAGCTGAAGGAGTCTGAAAAATAAAGAGATTTCATTGATGTTTTGTTATCTACCAGCCCTGTGCTCTTGGGGAGCCAGGGAGTGACACTGTTGGAAAACCATCGCCCTCCCCCAGGCCTCTGCTATAATCACAGACAAAGCAAGGAAAAGGCAGGGGAAGACCCACCTAAACTGCTTCAGACAAGGGTGATAGAATTAAGGAAACACCCCAGCCTCATCTGCATTGAAGACAGCTACAGTTCATCTTCAAATTTGATACAATCAACTCAGGATTAAACAAAGACTGTGAATGACTAGCTAACTACAAAAGCAGCTTCTCCTCTCTTGGTATTCACACCTCCAGATCAGCTATTAGAAGTGGGCCTCATCCTTCCTGACTGGATCCACCTCCTCATCTCTAGCCTGATTCTGGCCTGCATATTTAGACCTGCTTCTGAAAATTTCCACCACATCAGTGGTCTCCAACCTTTTTACACCCAAGATCACTTTTAAAATCTCAGAACAGGCGAAGATCTACCACCCCGCCCCTTCCTTGAAGCCCTGCCTTCTCTATTCTCTTCCTGGCCATCACTTGCTATCCCCAGCCCTTACTTACACATTCTGATAAACAGTTAATTTTTAAATGATGCCATATATAAAATTAAAATCACATGTTTATAGTTATGAAATAAATGGTCTGTTTTTTATTCATGCTATTTAAATCTAAAATGAAGCATTTATAGTTATACATTTTGTGGGGACAGAGTTCTGCAGCTGGCAGCAGAGGAGAGGAAACAGTGTGCTGGGAGGGCAGAGGACAGGGTTCTGCAGCAAGGGTCAGAGTTCCAGTGGGGACAGAGTTCGGGGAGTGGGGACGGGAATGGGGACAGAGTTCTATAGCTGGGGACGGGACAGTTGTGTAGCTGGGGACAGGGGAATGGGGACAGAGTTTGGAGAGTGGGGACAGAGTTCTGTAGATGTGGAAGGGGGAGTGGGGTCTGGGAAGCGGGGAGTGCGGACAGGGG